TTTTTGACAAACACAACCAGTCAAAATGGAAAGTGGAAACTAAAATGTGAATTTCTATTTTCTCTTTTAAATAAAAACAATTAAGGAACAAATTTGCTCTGAATTTCTGCATGTATGCATTAGAAATATGGCATTTCTACTAACAGTTTTCATACTGTGAGTCTCATACCAGCCCTTGTCTAATTGGTACAATTTGTATGCATGCCACCACAACATTGCTGAGGACTAAAAACATTTACGAGGCCTTAATTTAAACAGGCTTTAAAAGCTCTGCTCTCCTTAGGTTCTATTCTCTGTGTTTTTTCTCCATGTCCCCCCATGTGAACAAGTCAAACGTCTGAAGAGATGTATTGAAGTATCCCTGCACATTCTGTACGACGGATATGTCATATGACATATTGCCTTGCAGCAGCCATCACAGATAAAATGACAGATGCTGTTTTTTGCCTCATGGATCTTTCTTGGCCAAGTTGATTTTGAGACATTGCTTTTTGCTCTGCCCTGCTGTCTCAGTGATGCGGCTCTCCTGCATATTCTGTTCTCTTTGCTTTTCCTTTTCATCCATTGCGAAACTTACAAAGGCTGCCTGCTTTGTTCTCCACCGAATTTCAAACACGGTTGGTGTGTAATTGCTAGCGACAAGGAGAGCGTGGTTGTTGATGTCTCACTTTCCTTTTTAACTGACACTCAGCCATCTGCTTTGTTTAGCTTCGATGTTTACCCCGCCCATCCGCTGTGCCTCCTCCACATTATTCCTTACATGTACCGGTGAAAAGCCTGGTCTCCATAGATACACGAGGCCAACTCCTTAAAAGCCCTGATTTATTATTTTGGTGTGGAGGACACATGAAGACAGGAGGAAAGGGTGACGATGCCGTTTCGTGAGAGTTCCTGGACAAGCCCTGACCTTTCCGTTTGTGTCTCACTAAAGCCTGCCCTTTTCCCTGAGGGAAATGAGGCATTCTGGGAGCTGCAGTGCACTACCTACCTTCATCCACTTCAGTGGAAGCACCGACTGGCCGCCTGTGGCTACGTCTGCACATCTGTCCAGGTGGATGGATGGCTTTGATTGGAAATAATCCCTGACCCTGTCGTCGGCCTGACTCCTGACTGGCAGTAATTGTCATGGCAGTAGGCAGGCCCATCTTTCACTTGTGGTCAGCCATGATTGACCTGATTAGGCCTGGGTAGCTCCCCAGAGTGAAGGGGTCTGGTGTGGCCCGGGGCAACGATGAGCTGGCTGTACCCATGTGCCCCTCGACCAGCAGCAGAAGATGATACATGTTGCTAAAGTAAGTTGGCAGCAACAGTGGCCTGACTAGCTTCACTTGTCAAGTCATATCCAGGGGTCAGAGAGTTTACCGAGGGGAAATCTGAGACACGGCATCGTCATACATATTGTACGCACAACCAAGCATATGAGAGGGCGGGTGCTGGAGGGTTTTGGTTTGGTTCCTGTAAATTCAAACTCATCGTATGTTTGCAATTAAAACTGGTGTGTACAGTTTGTTTACAGAGTGCTGCAATCAACGTAATTGGGAGAGGGTGTTCCTGACTGAAACGTCTGTCTTATTTCTCTCTGCCTGGGTTCAAGTGGGCACTTGCTGGCTTTGTCCCAATGTAAATGCATCGTTTCACCTGTTTCACCTTCTCTATACACTTTCGTTTTTACATTATTCATATTTTTTCTGGCTCAAATACAAAGACCTACAACAGAGCTTTTGATTTCAGTGAAAACAAACCAAGAAAGTCATGGAAAAAAATAGATAAAAAGCTATGTGAAATGACTTTATTTTCCTTTTCAATTCTAACTAAATCACCACTGACCACTGCATTGTTCTGGTTTTCTTCAAAACTCAAACTGCAAAATAAAGTTTTAAAAAAAAAAGTTTAATAAAATTTATTTAAAAAAAAATCGAGAACAAAAGATTGAAAAATAACACACATGACGTAAATAAACACGAAGGGCAGAAATTGCATGATGTCATCATTTTGTTGCAGACCTCACTTTAGCTCGTCTTACAGCCTGATCTGGACAGAACGTCTGGTCAGAACTGTTCTCATGTGATGTCAGATTACTCTTGCATTATTGGTCATAGATGTGAATTGTGTGTGTGTGTGTGTGAAGCTAATGTCGACAAGCAGCAGCGGAGTCTGTCCTACTTTTCTGCTGAACCTTCAAGAATTTCTGCATTTGAATTTCTTGTGAAGAATGAAATGTCTTTACCAGAATAAACTATGTTCTGAACATTTTTTCTTGTGTCTTTCTGACTAGAGTTTAGGTTGTTTGTTCAGTCAGCTTGTGAAGGTGACACAGAAAAGGAGTGTGTGGCTCAGCAGACACTGACCCTGATGAAAAGCATGCTTTTGTCACAACACAATAGATTGAATTTATTTGAATGACCATGTAAGATAATATTTTTTTACCTCTTCTGGTTGTGCCTTTCATCTTTTTTATGACTACTTCTTTTCACATTCAAACTTGTTTTACTCAGAGCAAGAAGACAAATGCTTCACTTGGAGAACCCCTTGGGTTTTTTTTTTTTGTCCTCACAAGCTAGAATCAGGTCCTGAAACGTCTGGAATTTGAATCACATATTTTTTTTCCAGATTTGGATAAGAGCATACATTTGTATTTCCAGATTTTGTTCCCTATTCCATTGGCTAAATGTTGTGCCCTTACTTCCATCCTTCAGATTGTTTTTACTTTCTTCCTTGTGCTCTTCTTTCTTTCTTTTAGCATTTTGTCCATTCGTTTTACTTTTATTCTTCTTTTCTCATGTCCTTCACTGTCCTTTCTTTCCGTGTTGCTGTTTTCCTAACTTCCTTCCTTCCTTCTGTTTTTCCAGAGTTTTTCCTTTAAGTGAACTTTTGCTGTCTGAAATGAAGCGTTTTTATCTTTGTCAGAAGCTTTGTTTGTTTAGATTACAAATCTTTTCGTATTCCAGGCAGCATAAAGGTGTCTTTTGACTGTGCCTGCGGTTTCCCTGGTTATTGACAGCATTTTGTAAATATTTTTTTCAGCCTTTGTTTGAAGAAAAGGTTTCAGTGTGCACCTGAATATCTGGATGTTATTATGCCATCTTTTGATCTCATTCATGCTCTGCAAGAGGGGATTAATTTCTCTAATTGGAGGTGTATACTCGCTTTGAGGCCGCAACATTCTTAACTCTTGATACTGTCAATGTGTTTGCCATTCAACAAAGATGATGTCATATCGTCAATTGGAAACACAACTACTGCTTCATTCCTAGCACTCATGCGGTTTGTTTTTACCATGTAAATAGTTTTTCCTTCAAACCCTGCATAGTAACAAAGACCTCCTTGAAAATAAGGAGGAATTCCTCTGAACGCCCTGCCCTGCTCTCGGGTGAGAAAAGTCTCACCAGAATAGTCTCTTAAGATCCTCGAGACAAACATCACAACTGGTAATGTTTTTAGTTTTCATAAAGAACTCATGTCAGTACCAGCAAATAAATATTTACTACTAGAAAGTCACGGAACTTGTGTTCTCTAAAAGAAATTTTTAAGTGGTTTGGATTTATGTCAAAAACTGTGAGGTACAGATAATTCGTCTGAACATAAGTCAGCAACTTTAAAAACCTGACTAAGGTGATGAAATTGAAATTTTGACCACGTTCTTTACACCATTTCTTCAGTTCATGTTAGTGGATATGTGTGTGTGTGCGTGTGTGTGTGTGTGTGTTTAAAGCTTTCTAAAGGTCCCACCTCATCCTTTCAGGCCGTTTGATGTCTGACCTTTAACTAGACCATTGAAACACTTCAGTCTGGTCAGACTGTTGCTGATTCGCTGCTTTGTTTGGGATAATTGTCTGCTGGTGATCCAGTCGTGGCCCAGCTTTAGCCGTCAGACAAATTGTTCTGTTTTTGACTCTTGATTACTTTGGGATTCAGGAGAACTCATGGTAGACTCAAAGACTCCAACATGCTAACCAAATCATCAGCCCTCCACCCCCATGTATGACGGTTGGTTTGAAATGTTTGTCAGGATTTTGGCCAGACGTTTTTCTTGCCTCTGTTTAAGATGCTTTGTTTCAGACGTTTTAGGTTCTTTGCGGTTTCACTGAACTCGGCACAGACAGATGTTGAGGAGAATTTACTGGCGTGTCTAGCACAGCTCTTTCCATGAGTAAATAATTCTGTTGTGGTGCAAAATGTGTGTATCAACCCTAGAAGGAAAGCTAAAAAAAACCAGCGTCCTAGCTCTGGGTAGACATTTATTGTGTTGTCATTTATTTTGATACATTTTTTATCATGAAAACTTTTTCATTTATTGTCATCACAATAAATTCCAATTAATTTATTGTGACAACAAAACTGTCATTGTTCTTAGGATTATTTTCACTATGTTTTTCAATGTGTGCATTTTAGTGATAAAAATCATACTTTTTTATGTTACTGGTGTCCTAAAGAACTGTTTGTGGGGCTATGATTGCTGTGTCATGCAGTCATAGCCACACAGTTACCTAATTAAAGTAATAAACTGCTCTGATTACTTTTATCTTTATCACAATAGTGAAATATGGACTGAATGGCCAATCAGCAGGAAGAATCCATTACTCCAAAAGCAGATAAAGTCTTGGACTGTAACTTTATTTATTAATTTTTTATTCTTGTGATCTAAAAAAAAACATTGGCCCATATTGACTATAAATTTCAGAGTTACATTTTCAATAGTTAGATGTCCATATCTCTGTAGTTTGCAATTTTCCTCTACTTTATCTTTAACTGTCTGTTGTGTATCTGATGGTAATTGATTGCACTGGATTTCATTTTGGGGTATCAGATTAAAGGGCAGGTGCATATATGCACCACACTTTTCAGAGTTGGTACTATTACCTCCCTTCACCTTATAGGTATTCTCACTTTGTGGTTGTAATGAGGGAAAATGAGAAAAAGGTCAAATGGCATGAGTTGTTAAGCGAGGCGCTGTACATCTTCCTCCTCCTCCTCCTCACCGGAGAACTTCTTGTCTCCAGGTCTCCAGCAGCACGGCCGGCTCCCCAGCGTGCTCCTCCGCCCCGTCCACCTCATCTCGCCAGTATACTCGACACCGCATCACCCGCGTCAACCTCAGGGACTTGATTTTCTACATGGAGCAAGAGAGAGAGACTGCCCACTCCCTCCTCCTTTACCGTGCACTGCTCAAGTAGCCTCTGCTCTGCTCAGCACCCACCTCAACCTCCACCTTCTCCACCTCCTCCTTCCCAGCCACGTGCCTTCAGATCAGGTCTAATATTTCTGCTCTGTGTCTCTATATGTACTGTAGTGATGTTCGACGTAGCTTTTAACACACAGAGGGTTAGTTAAAAAAAAAAAAAAAAAAGCTAAATGTTGTTGTTCCTTGTGCTCTCCGTTTAGCTTCACAGTGTGTAGTTAGATCCTTCGATTTAAAGGCCACGTCACGTACTTTGTGTTGGATTTGTTAGATGAAGGATGTCCGAACCTGTTCCATGTGTTCTCGGTTGCTTTTTATTAGTTCACACTGGTGTCAGAACCTCCAGAAACCATGTACGTAGGAATTGCAGACTCAGATGGTTACTTTCACACCTCAATGCAGACTCTAGTTTTTTGTGTGAGCTATTTGTTGACGCGGGTCAATGAATGTAGTCTAACTGAGCTCAAACGTTGAGACTTTATGGACTTTTTACTCCAGAGAACAGATTCCAAATACTGATGCATCTTAATAAATCAAAACGTGTTTGAACTGTTAGTTTACTTCTGAAAGATTCAGTAGATTCAGTTTACACAATGTGACACATTTGAAGCATTTCTTTCTGTTAATTTAGACGATTATGGCTTACGGATGATTCGAATGTTGAATAATGTCAACGAAAAAGTATTTTAAAGGGGCTGTTTCATATGTTCTCCGGACACATTTTGCCATTTTATAGCACAATCAAGTAACTATATTACCTTCAGTAGTTATGAAAATGCTGTTTATGTCAAAAATAACTTAAGAGGAATTTAACTTTGCATCAGAGATGTCTCACACTTTAAAATTTGTGTCTGTTTCTTTAAGAAGCTCCTTCCCTTTTCGATCCTTCAGCACAGCAATGCTTCTCCATTATGCTGTTTATAACAGCATTGGATTGCGAAGTAGTTTGCATGGTAAACTTAGAAAACATGCAGTTCCATCTGGTGTTTGCTAATTGCTGCTGCCAGCCTAGAGAAGCTAAATGGGAGAGAAGCACCAAAAGTGCAATTTTAATCTATTTTTGTGGTCATTAGATTCAAAATTCTGTGCTTTACTTGCATAACTTTTTGTAAAAGACATAGCGTCCATCCTCTTTTGCAAAAGTTTTATGTTTTTCTCTTTTAAAAAACTAAAAATAAAATGGTGGCTCTGTAGAAATCTCAAAACATTCCCTATAGTATTCATTTCTAAAAAAAAATGTAATTACATTTCCAAAAAGGTCTTGTTATATTTGTAGGTTAAATGAGTTTCATTATGCTGAATTCAGGGCAAGGATAGTTCTATGAATTACTGAGGTTGCAGATCCCCTAAGATATTTGTTTTGCAAAATTGCTGGCCAGCATGGTTGTTAAACCATTTTATTTATATTTTTTTTTGACAGTGTGGATTTGCTTCACAACCCACTTAAAGCTACACCAGTTTCTTGTGCAACTTTTGTTTTTCTTCTGCAATGTTTTCTTCCACTAAACTTTCCATTGATATTGTTGAATGTAGCACTCTGGGAACGACTGTCTTCTGTAGCAAGAACTTCTTGTAGCTTAGCGTAACATTTCTGAATTAGGAATTACTATTTTATTTGTCCATTAATAATAATAATTAGTAATAATATAATATTTTAATTTTCTTAGTTTTAAATACAGTTTTTATTAGCTGTAAGCCATAATCATCAAAATTAACATATCTATTTGAAATACATTCCTGTGTATAATGAACTGATATTAATACATGATCTGAATTGAATTTAAAAACTCTTTTCGAAGCCACTAAGATGCACATCATTCTGTTACATTTCCTTGCTGTATATGTAAATAGTTCTTTTTGAATTATTTTACAGCATGTATATTTTTATCACAAGCTTTGTAAGAAAAGAAAGTGATTTCTGTGTGAATATTATAAAAGCTGATGTTTTGTAAAAGGACGTGCTTTCAGAGTATCGTTACATGACAAATCCCCCCGGTTCCTCATCCTCCTGCAGTTACCTGCAACGACCACTTAACAAATCCAGACAGTCTTCAATCAGCCTCGCTGACTGGGTCAGTATCGTCTTATAATGTGAAGTAAGCAGAAGGCAAGCAGACATTCCTCTATCATGTCTCCCGACTTATCGTGTGTTGTACGTCACCTAATGTTTAGAAAACATATGTAACTGTTCTGTCCCTTGTGCCCGAGCTTTCGCAGTGACTGAATGGTGAAGGCAGGATATTTGTTATGGTGTGCAGCACTTGTATTTTCTGTATTTTTCACCCAAATGAGTAACGGTTGTAAAGTTAAAGTAAAGTAAAGTGGAAAAGAATAGAAGGAAGCAGTTTTATGATTCCAGATTAGTTTTTCATTTTCATTGGACTGATCTCTGTGACAGAAAATGTTTTACATACCATATTAAATATTTGCCTTTTTTTGTTTAATCCTTAAACAATCCTAATTGTATTATGTAATATTGTCCAGTATGTTTTTTTAATATATATCTAACTAGATTTCTTGGCCTCTATGCAGCTTTTCTTGCCAGATTGAAAATTTATTTAACTATGTGGGTAAAGGGGATATTTGAAGCAATTGTTGTGCATCATAAATTTAAGCAGCACTTTTTAAAATCTATTTTACCCGACAGCTAAAAGTTGTCGCTGTATTATAGCAAATAGTAAGCACTATTGCTAGTTTCTGTCAGTTTTCACCATATGTTTTATTTTTTGGGAGGATTGGCTTTTATGCTTAACTCATGCATTTGAAGTCCAAAACATTTTAGAAACAAGCACAGCACTACCAATTTGTGGTTGGTCCGGTGACATTTTTATTCAATGATTTTTATTGTTTCCGATGGCTTCACAAGAGGACATTTCTACTACGACAACAACTACTACTACTGCTACTACAGCTTTTTAGCCAAAATAAGAAGACAATAATTCTGATGTAAACAGCTCTTGGAAATAGCATTACATTGCAAGGATGATTTGTAAATATTGTTTACAAAACTGTATGTTTATTAGAACCACGTTATTTTTGGTAAACTCTTGTACATATCTGGAAAATTTCCTGTTTGTGTCAAAAAAACAAAACTTTCGTATTCGTACTTATTTTGTAAAGGAATAAATAAGCTGTTTACTAAACTGAGCGATCTTGTCTTTGCCTAAATGCTTCTTTACATGAAAAACAGGAAGGTGAGGGAAATGTGAGGTACGTATAAATGCTCCTGGGTCGTTTGTTCTTTTACTTTCTTTAGTTTAATTCATTTATTTGAGTTTTCCAGACTATTCACAGCTCTTTTCTGTGCAGTTATTCTGTTGTTTCATGTTTTGTTGAAAGAAAAAAAAAAACACCCCTGAATTGAGGCATATTTTCCTCCTAAACCTATTTGCAGATTGATTCATTACATTTATTTATTACTTTCTGGGTTGTAAAACTACAAGTTCCCAGTATCTTTTGCAAATCCCAACTTGCCTGTCCCCCCCTTTTTTTTTTTTTTACATAAAAACTTCTCAAAAAATATTGCACAACTGGAACATGCTTCAAAACACTTGTAACACTTTTCTCTCCCTCTTGGTGAATTGTCACATCATGTTTGATCTCGGTCTAAGTCTATTAGAGTCGAGCTTTAAAAAGCACAATGAAGATTGTGCTTAAAGACTTTTGAAGTAAAGATACTTGGTAATAAACTGTCTGCAGGTTGGCATAACACAGGTGCATTATACGAAATAAGATGTTGACGGTTATTATTGCTGATCGTGAATCTTTGCTTTGGGAAATTGTAGAAAACAATCCATTTGCTTGCTCACTTTTTTAACTTAAAGGAAGAAGTTTCCAAAAATAAATTTCCCCTAAAAGTCACCACACTACGGGACATTTCTCTGCTTGGTCCTTAATCTGCAGCATGTGATCTGAGAGCTTTCAGTTTTCTGAAAAATATAGTTTCAAAAATGTAAAATTCCAAGGAAAATACCAAATCAGTGAAGCACTTTGGCCCAGCTATCAAAATCCCTCCCAGGTTTCTGTTGCTAATTAAGCAGAAGAATAACTGACCATTTACTTCAGACCTTGGAAAAGCTTATTGTTTTCTGCCTCTCAGTTCGACCCTCTGCTGTGCTGGACCATGAAAATCCTTCTCCTTGTACAGAGACGAGCAGGAGACACTCGTGCGTTTGATCTGGCTGGCAAATTGGATTAGGTTCCATCTGCTCAAAGTAAACACATAAAGTTCACCACACAGAGATTTTCTTTTTTGTATTTTATCTGATAGACCAACACAAAATGTGAAGTAGAAGGAAAATAACAACAAAAAACACTGAAAACTGTGGTGCTCATTTGTATTCTGAACCATTCAAGCTGCCACCTCAAAAAAAAAAAAAAGATTTGGTGACTTTACCTAATTAGTAAATGGAGTCCCTTCTTGTTTCATCTAAAGCTCAGTTTAAGTGCAGATGTTTTATGAAGATCTCAGATGTTTGTCTGGCCTGGGGCAACGTTATGGAGAAGTTTAAAGCACAGCAGGTTATAATGCAATGTCCCCAATTTTAGACATCTGACACAGCATTTTTCAACTAGTTGTGTAGCAATGGAAAGAGTATGGCTATTTCTGGAGGAGAATCTTTAAACGTAATTACTGTTAGTCACTCGAAAACATTTATTGAAGGGTGAAACCAAACAGTTACTTTAAATCTGTAAAAGTCCCATTTAAAGTGTTACGAATCCCTTTGTGGCCCATATACAAAGCAATATGCAATGAAGAAAACTAATACTGAACATCATCCTGATCACATCATTTGAGGCATGGTGGTTGCAGCATCATCCTAGGGAGATGCTTTTCTTTAGCAGCGGGAAGTGAAGCTGGTCAGCATCGATGGGAAGGCGAATGAAGTCTGCTGGACGCTTCAAAAGACCTGAGACTGGGACAAAGGTTCACCAAAAATATGAACATGAATCCAGGGCTACATTGTAAAGGCATATCCCTGTATAAGATTGGCCTAGTCAAAGCTCAGACATGAATATCTGGCAAATCTGTGAAAACTGGAGGTCAGACACCATCCAATATGACTGAACTTGAGTTGTTCTGAAAAGAAGAATGAAGAATTATATTTTGTAAGCTAGTAAAGAGCTTAAAGGTTTTACAGCCATAATTGCAACATATCTAGAAATTTCATCTACTTTGTCTTCCATGCAAAATACACATTGGTGCTTGTGGTTGTAACTTTACAAAGTTCTAAATGTAAATACTGTCATTGTAAACAGTACTAGATGTTGGAAGCTGTTATAAAACTGTCAACCTTTCTAAAAGAGTGACTGAGACAAAGTTAATTTATACAGTACATCCTTTTATTATCGCAAATATGCAAGAAAAGTCAAATGGAGACACTGTAAATGAACACATGCCCTTTAATACCACAGTCTAATTGTTTTAAACACTTTAAATAATATACATTTGCACCTTATTATACGCTTTGAAATGTTTTTTTTTTTTTTTTAATCCATATGTACACAATGTAATGTTCTGACTTTTCTTTTAACTCTTTACTGTGAAGTGGCTTTGAGATCTCTCAAAAACACGAAGGTCCCATAAGGCCTACGAGTCCTGACAATTCAATACACAGTAACTGTACAAACTGAGCCGCCGAGGAGGGGCGGTGAAAGCCACGTGAATACTGACGAGCGCTTCATCTGAAAAGGGCCGACAACAGGGAAGGTGTCCGAAAAATTTCCAGTTGTTCCGAATGCGTCGAGATGTCTAAAAGGGAGCATCTTTCTTTTTCAAAATCACAAATTTCAGCTCCTAAAAGGTAACACGAGATGCCTTAAGTCTTACATTACTGAAGCACAAATTGGTTTTACCTTCAGCGGTAAGAACAACCAAAGTAAGTTGAGGTCAGCTGCAGAGTCGAGTTGCCTTGCACGTTGTGAGCCTGCTCGTGTTTTGACTCATCAGTTTGTTTGGTTTGTTGCGGTGTGGTCCGGCGTAGGAGGGCGTTCTGTAAACGGGGAGGCAGGAAGGGGCTGGGGGAGCTCCGCGAGAGAGAGAGAGAGCCCGACATGCCTCTCTCCACATGAAAAAACAGCATGGTTGACCATTCCCTTTGAGGCAACTGGATCCAAAAGGAGCAAATCAGAACAAAGACGGTTTGCTTTGTGAGAAACTTCATCCACTCTCTGCTCCTGTTCAGACTGCAGAACCCAAGTTTAATGAAAAACTAAAGAAACAAACCCAGTTTAAATCAAGAAACTGCCAGCACCAACAAAGATCAGAGTTAAGCTGCTTTTTTTTTGTTTTTTTTGTTTCAACTCTGGCTTTTGGAATGGAAGAAACAGCATAGTTAAGTTATGCACAAATAAAAAGCGTGAAAACTTTCTTGCTTCTGTCTTTGATCGAAGACATGCTGAGTGTAAGAGCAAGAGAAGAAGAGAAGGAGCGACTAAAATGCCGCCCACTCGCCTCTTTGTGAACAACAGATTGATGCTGGGAGAGCAGTTCAACTTTAGGTTCTGCCATATGTAATGTGTGAACAACCTCTGAAGTAATCTGGACTCAGAAGTGACAATATTCAAACAGAACTGACAGGACTTGGAGGATCAAATGTTTGCGTCCTTCATACGGTTTTAAATAATGCAGCGTGGCTCAAAGAACATCTTGATGCTCGTACAATCAACACAACTGGCACAGTTTGTTCTGTTGGATGCCTAATTTTCCTCCGTGTTTTTCAGTACTTTAAACCCAACGCACACCTAAACATAAAACAGCTTGACTTGGCGTTGTTTGCTGGGCTGTAATGATTCCTCAGAACGAGTGGGACCGGGCAGGTCTGTGGTAAACTTCGTCAAGTGCAAACAAACATTAAGCATTTAAAGTACATCTCCTGCTGATTCCGAGACACACTAAATGTCAGCTCTAAAACTTGTGCTAAACGGGAGACAGTTTGAGCAGACATTCCTCCAGATTTCTTCTTTTTTTATTTTTTTTTTATCATACTCAAATGCTTCAGATCAGCAAAGTAATTTTAACAATAGACAAAGATAACAATGCTAAATGCAAAAATCAATTTTTAAAATTATTATTATTATTATTAAGGGGGAAAAAAACAACCTTGTTTTGAGTGAGCAGGTAATTACCCGACAGTTTTTGTTTCTTTTTTACCCAGGCTCTTTATTATCATTGAATCGTGAATTTTCATTTTGACTGATTCGAGTGAGGCCTGCAACGATTTGGATGTTGATTTGAATCTTTCCTAGCCTTCCTATGTAACTCCACTTGATTCTCATCTCCCTTCAATGCTCCACCTGAGATTTCTTCCAATAAACTCGATTTCTCAGGATGAATTTCATGGTTTGCTTGAGTCACAGTGGCTTTGTAACCCTTCCCAGAGTGATAGATGTGAATGACTTTGTTTCTCATTTGTTCTTGAAGTTCTTTTAATCAGGGTGTGACGTCTTGCTTTTACAAACTCTTTGAGCCTGCTTCATATTGTTAGACATGTTCTCTTGATCCTACACAGCTGGACGTAGCTAGTAAAACAAAACCAAAATGTGGTTAATCCCAGCTAAATGGTTGTTTTAGGTTGATTTTCTCTCCTAATAAATGAAATCATCATTTAAAAACTGTATTTTGCATTTACTCAGGGTATTTTTGTCTCATATTAAAAGTTCTTTAATTATCTGAAGCAGTAAATTTAACACAAAAAAAGGGGGTAAATATGTTTTCATGGTGCTGTCTGTTTTATAGAAAATAAGCAGAAATTTTAGAGCAGCTTTCTTTTTTATGTGCACAACCCATTTGACTATAAACAATGTGGAAACGTCGAGGTTTTCTTCCATTTCTGCTCGAACAATGGGACTTTTTCTGGCTCCGATTTCATTGCCAGTCAGATTGCTTTTGCCACATAGCCTGCAGACATCTGAGTTGCTGCAGCCATTGCCAAGAAACGCTCCCTCGCAAGCTCTCGAAGCCTAATGAATACAATGTTCGTACATCCTTCATTTTGGAGAAAAGGGGTGGGGGGGAAAGAGACATTAAAAATAATCCTATTAATAATAATTGTGTACACCATGTGATGATAAAAACAGCAAAGCGGACAAGGAAAACAGAAACAGTTTAGCAAACAATGCTGAGTCCGCTGAGGTTTGACAGGGTC